AAGAAAATTAAGATGGATTCTAATAAAATTAAAATGACATGGAGTATAATTAATAGTGAACTGGGTAAGGCCAACTCTCGGAATTCAAACTACCGGTTAAGTTTTAACAACAAATTATCTGAATCAGATCAGGATATTGCAATGGTTTTTGAGAAATATTTTACTGATATTCCGGTCTTAACCACCAAGTCACTGAATTCTTCTCCTGCTGTCGCCGATTCATTACTTAAACAAAATGTAAATGCGTGTACAAAGAATTTTACATTTCATAAAATATCATCAAAAGATATTGTAAAATATTTTAAAACTATTGATATTAAGAAAACTGCAGATCTGTTAAAGTTATTGCCTCTATAATAGATATAGGCGTTAGACCCTGCCAATTATTTTATTTAACAGACGGTATTTAACTTACTATAACGGTATGACAATATTTATTATATTAAACGGTATTAATTTCTATTACTTTGAATTAAAAAAACATCTTTGGATTATTATCCACATAAAATCTTTTTTATGGTGATCATGAACAACCAACTAGCCGAGTTTCTAGCAGAGTGAAAATTTCGTTCAATTGTCACTTACTGACTTTAAATACCTCGTACAGAATATTCTCCGATCGTTTCAAAACAGGATAGAGACTGGAAGGAAGTTAGACCAGTAAAAATAAGGCTTGCAGTGACATTAAGATTTATAGCTACCGGGGACAGTTACACAAGTTTGCACTATCTGTTTAAAATATCAAGCTAAAAGCAAATAATCAATCTCATGCACAGTGATTGAAGTCTCTTTAGCGCTAAATGAAATATTAAAATATATGATTAAGGTAGGTAAAAAAAGTTTTTATTTTAAACCAATTATTTATTTTAAGATATTACTTCACTTAGCCTATTTAGGTTGACAAATATTTGACTCAAATAAGTTTAAATTAATTTGTTTTTTATGCATATGTATAATATGCTCGATGAGCAATATTCTGTAATGGAGTGGAGTGAGTTTCTGAAGAATTGTACCCTTCCCACGTGTAATTATGATCAGTCATAGTATGTTGAGATACTTCTGGTATACTAATTATAACAGGAGATGCTAGCTCTTCTTGTGAAGGTGGATGGGTTGGGTTGGGTGAAGATTGTGACGTGTGTATTTATACTGGGGCTAAAACTGCATTGGAAATGATTTGTACTCGTCGAGGTAGCAGTTGATTAGGAACATATGTAGAAGGTGGTGTATGTGCTGAAGATTTTTTTTTTCATATTTATAAAACGTTACCCCCACACTAGGATTTTCTCCTGTGTCGTGGAGGCAGTTTACAAACATAAATTGCACAAGGACAAACATCCAGACCCGGAACAATTATTTGTAGGCCATACAAATACTTGTTCCGTGCGAGATCCGAACCCGCGGCCCCCAGCGCAACAACTGATTGCTAAGCCACTGCGCCACGGAGGTTTGTTTTAAGGCGAAGGAGGCAGAGGAGGCGAGCATGACCATTCAGATCGGTATGAACTTTGAGAAGAGGGTGGACGAATGACGTATGAATTTTTACGAATCATTTGTGCTTTTTGACGTCTGTTTAACAACATGTTATCTATATCTAACATGATTTCTTCTCTTTTAATCTCTGTATATGTCCTCAGTTTGGTTGCAAAAAGTTTACAATATAATTCGCATGGATCATCTTCTCGTCTTAAAGAATCTTTAGTAAGGACTTGATTTAAAGTGTTGAAAGTATTTGACACCTCCCTGCCAGCTTCTGCTAATTCTGGTGGATTTTTGCAACGTTGCCTTATAATTGGAACTGTTCCTGGATCACTGCTACTCCCAGCTACGGAGTTGTTTCCTTGACTATCGTCTTCTTGAGCTAGTGCCTTTTCTACAAAACGTGTGGATGAAACTGCAAACGAATGGGTTAATAAGGTAGAAGGATTTACCTTTCCTCATTGCGTTGGCGCTATAGATGGCAAGCACATAACTATACAATCACCAGTGCATCTGACTATAGTAACTATAACGGCAGCTTCAGCATTGTTATACTAATTCTAGTGGATAGTAATTAGTTTTGTTTGCCGATGTAAGATGTATAGGTCGGATAAGTGATGTTGGCGTATTTAATCAGTGTTATGTCAAAAACTATCTTCTGGCAAGTATGAATTTACCACCTCCTAACCCACTTCCGAGTGGCAATTATAATATTCCTTTCGTATTTTTAAGGGATGGAGCATTTGCGCTCAGTAGCCACATATCCAGGCCAGCACGCCATAGGATCTCCAGGAAGAATATTTAATGTCTCGTTCTCGTGTAAAAGTCGAAAATACTTTTGGCATCCTATCCAACAGGTTTCGAATTTTTTGAAAAGCTATAGCTCTGGAAACTCCTTTACGAGTCTCTATTATCTCAATGTCTTGTCTACTTTTACATAATTTTTTGAGATACAGTAGTTCATCTCGGAAAATTTATACACCCCCAGGTTCATTTAATACTTTCATTAACGGGGAGCTAGTACGACCAGGTTCATGGAGAACCGAAAACAGAGATAGTGCTTTGTTGCTATTACAAAATGTGCCACGCAAACCGCAACAGGTTGGATTTTATAAATTATTTTTGTAGAAACAGAATAGAAAATAATTAAAATTTGTGTACCTATAATAAATATGTTGTTTTACTTACACTGATACCCTCTATGTTAATTATGCTGGAATATTCATACACGTCATTCAAAAAGTTGTCCATAGTCTCATATAACGGCCAAATTGGGTTATAATACTCATCTTCACTCATGCCGGATTTAATGGACTGGGTTTTCTTCTTGCGATGTACTCTGTATGTAGCCATTAACGACTCCTTTTTTTTAATTCACTTATTGGTATATTCATATAATCTGCTATTCTAATCCAAGCATCATTAACATGTAACAAAAAATATAGGTAATTGGTAGGTATACTTACAGACTACAATAGAACAGTCCAACAAACTCTAAAGTAAAACAAACTACAAATCTCTCTATTGGTTTGCAACGTACGCCTTTCTATCAAGGACGTTTAGAGGTCATACTAAATTTGGGTTAAACAGTGAAAATCAAAGTCAAAATCTTTATTTGCAGAATAAAATATGTAGGTAATACAGGTATTTAGTATAAAAGTAAGTCTCAATAATATTCTACCGGTACAACGGTGTGCAAATATGTCTTAAAGTAATCAAATTTAATTGTACATAATGTCAAAATCAATAAATTATATAATACACTTAATAATATTGTAATCAATTAAAATATTCCTTAACACTATAATAACACTTGTCAAAAAGCCATTTATTAAGCTCAATTTTAAATTTATTCAAAGGCATTTCTTTTAAGTTATTGGGTAATTTATTATATATTTTAATAGGCATCATAGGAGCACTGTTTGCATAAAATCTAGAATTGCATTTGGGATGAAATAATCTATTTTTATGCCTTGTTTGCCTTTCGAGAGATTCAGCGTGGGTTTTGAAATAATTCGGGTGTCGCTTTTCTAAAATACAAATTTCTCGAATATACATGCATGGCAAAGGCAATACGCGTATCTTTTTGAACAATGGCTTGCAGCTATCAAGAAACCACGCACCACATACAGCTCGCACACATTTCTTTTGTAATTTAAACGCTCTAATCACATCAACAGAATTCCCCCACAAAGGCAGACCATATAATAATACTGAAGACACATAACCGTGATAAGCAGCTAGGGCTGCTTTTTGTGATATTGTTTTTCTCAATCTTTTTAAAGCCTATACAAACCGGTTTAATTTTGTACAAACCTGGTCAATGTGAAGCTTCCAGTATAAATTTTTGTCAATTTTTATACCTAAAAACATAACTGATTCAACATTTTCTATCTTCGAATTTTCATATTTTATATTCATATTTATAGGTTCCATTTTGTAATTTCCAATTTGTATTATTTTTGTTTTGTCAATATTAAGTAAGAGATTATTAGAATTAAGCCATGTCACAATAGTATTAAAAGACTTATTTATTTCGGTTTCATATATGTCTTTTTTGGTGCATTTAAATATAAAAGTTGTGTCGTCTGCGAACAAGATGCGTTTATGCTTGGTTATTTTAGACAAGTCATTAATATTATAGCAAAAAGATTAAAGGTCCTAAAATACTACCTTGAGGGACATCACGGTCATTAGATCTAAACTGTGAACGATGTAGTTCTTTAGTAAATATGCCGTCTTGTTGTGCTTGCGTTAGCCGAGTGATTTCTGTGCATTGTTTTCGATCTTGCAAGTAACTTCTTAGCCACGTGTAAGCCGCACCTCTTATCCTGTAACTTTCAATTTTGTTTAATAGAATTTTGTGGTCAACAAGATCAAAGGCTTTGGTCATGTCCAGCATGAGAACAGTTACTGGAGTTTTTCTATCGATACTCTCTGCTATGTCTTTAATAAAATTGAAGCATGCTAAAGTTGTAGATCTGTTTTTGCGAAAATCGAATTGATCTTCAGTTAAGATACCAAATCTTTGTATAAATTTACTTAATCTATCGTACATAGTTCTCTCAAATATCTTTGATATTACTGGGATCAAAGTTATTGGTCTATAGTTATTGAGATCCTTTTCATCTCCTTTTTCGTGAACTGGTTTTATTATAGAAATCTTAAGATCTTCCGGGAATGAGCCCTCGACAAATGATAGGTTTATAAGGCAACTCAGCAGTGTACAGATATAACAGGCACATGACTTTAGTATTTTGGTACTGAGTTCGTCGTAGCCAACTGAATCCGTGTTTTTTAATTCATTGATTATTTTCTTAATTTCCGCTGGTTCCGTTGGTTGTAAGAAAATTGTATTTGGATTTGTATCTATATTTAGTTGAGCAGAAGCAGTTGTTACCAGTTTAATGTTACTTAGGTCAATAAAAAAATTGTTAAATAATTCATATATCATGTCAGGGTTACTAATTCAATTTTACAATTGACCAAACAAAATCAAAATGTATCGACGATCTTATACTTCATACATATACATAACATAAACTAAAAATAAAAATAAAGAAACATATTATGCTATTACGCACAAAATAACAAAATAATATACGAATATATAAGAATTCGCCATCTTGGGATTCATTTCCATCGAACTCGTTGTCGCTTTCATTATCGATGCAATTGATGTCGACCCTCGAAATATCTTCGTCATCATCTGCAAACATATATAATAATAATATATTTAAAGTCACAAATAATATTTGTATAAAAATGTGAGTAATATATCAATATTATTCTAACCTGCAGTACTTTGTTTATCATCATCAATGGTTATATCTCCCAAAGAAGAAGGTAGCTGCTCACCCTCGAACCATTTGGAGTGGAATATCGTGTCCTTCTCTTCCCAGCCAAAACCGATTGGATACAGTTCCGTTGGAACCCGAAGATGAGGCGTGTGCCCAAATGTTTGCAATACTCGTATAAGTTGTCCGCAGCAAATGTTGGTGCAACTCAATTTAGCAGGGAGGCAGAGCTGATCCGTCGATGTTATTTTTCGGTAAACGGAATATGTTGTCGTTTCGCAAAATATTGTATGTCTTCAAAAATGTTTAAATAAAACTAATTTTACGGATTTTATCGCGTATATTAACTTATTTTATATTGCCGACGTTTCGGGCACTTTTCAGCACCCATGGTCACACTGAGGTGTATGACGTCCCAATGTCATAGTTAACCACGGCTACCTTCAGATTAAAAATTATTAATTTTTGTTCCGATTTACGCAGTATGAACTTACAGTATCATGAAGTCTTGCAGTTGTATGCTTGGGTTGGGATTTAATTTTATTAATTATGGGATCCCAAGCAGATGGTAGCACCCAGCCATCTTCTCTATTGAAATTAGGACGTTTTTTTTAATTTCAATAGCCTCGCGAATCATCCTGGGTAGGAATCGGTGTTTTTTAGCGAGGATTAGTGGTCTATCAAATCTAATGTCGTCACGGGGGCGATCCTGTACGTGTTCACAGACTGCAGACTTCCCGGAACGTCGGTTCTTTAACGCGGGTTTTTATGGATCTTTTAGTTTGTCCTATATAAGAGAGACCACATTCACAATCAAGCTTGTACACTCCTGCATCTTGCAGAGGAATATTACACTTGACTGATGGTAAAAACTGACTAATCTTCTTCGGCGGCTTGAAGTATGTTTTAATGGAAGCACGCTTCAAGGTGTAGCCAATCTTGTCAGTGACACCTCTGACATATGGCAGTACAGCAGGCACTCGCTCGACTGTGGCCGGCTTCAGTCGTTCACTGTGACGTAGGCGCGGGACCCGAAGCTTATTGTCGTGCAAAACTTGTTTAACGTGTTGGAGCTCAGCGGCCAGGTGTTTACTGTCACAGATCCCTCGTGCTCTCTGAAACAAAGATTTACCCACGGTAGCTAACTGTGAAGGATGGTGGTGAGAATCACCGTTTAAATATCTATCTGTATGGGTCTTTTTTTATGAACAGTGTGGCTCAAGGTGTTATCAGGATTCCGAATTACTAACACATATAGAAAAGCTAAAGAATTATTTGCCTCTAACTCCATAGTGAACTGAATTTTAAAATTTAAGGAGTTAAGATGGTCTAAAAATGCAGTTACTTTATCTAAAGGTAGAATTGTGAAAGTGTCGTCTACGTACCGCTTGTAGAATCTTGGGTTTACAGGAGAAGTAAGCAGGGCTTTCTCCTCAAAGTCCTCCATAAATATATCGGCGACAATGGGAGATACAGGTGATCCCATCGCCACTCCATCTACTTGCTTGTAAAACTCCTCCTTTCACAATAGGTAGCCAGATGTAAGGCAGTAACTACGTAATCAACTGTCCAGTGCTGTATAAAAAATTCAATAACGCCTCTTTGAAATTTGCGTTTTTAAATCGTTCGTAAAATCAGAAGAACGTACTTGATCTGCTCCCTCGATGTGGAATTGCGCGACTTGCATTCCTGTCAAATAATGTTCGTTGTCTTTGATAGAAGGAAAAATGTACTTATTAAAGGCGATTACAACTATTTCCGCATCATTTGAACAAAACATACTTAACATTTTTTAGATATGTTTCTGTACGTAGCTGGAACTTCCCTCATCAAATGGAGCATAAAAAATCCATCGAACACCTTAACGTTTGTATGCTCCGGAGTATGTGGCTTAATCTGCTGCACGAGTATTTTTAAAAGAACTGCCTTATTTATTTTACAAATAGAACCATCAATGTGGCACATCGATAATGGCACCGGCGGTAGAGGATATGTTAAAGCTTTGTCAATGTCCAGAGATTTTTTTAACCTTTAGCTGCCGACCTGGTCTAAACGTAGCACTTACGCCGACGTGACGACTGAGAGACGTCAAACTTTAAGTACTGAAATAAAATGTGTATTTGCATGCTACATTTTTCTATTTTATACATTAAAAAGATTGGTGTTTGAGGTAACAAACCACAGAATTAAAAAAAAAATACACGCTATTTTTCAGGTAATATCAACATTTATTCGAGAGATCACAATTCTTTGGCACTAAATTTTAAGGACTTACTTCAGTCTCGTTTTTCTCTAAAATTAAGTAATTAACACCAAATGAACTTAAAATATGTTATCTTCTATAAACTATTATCAAAACAAAACATAAATCTTACTTCTTCGTTAAAAAATAAAAATAATGACAGCACTCGAATATTTGGTACATTCACTACGTACGTTTGCAGTCAATGCATATTTGTAGGCAGCAAGTAAGGCACATTGGTTTCTTGCATTTGCAGCAACAGTACTTTGTTCGCCTTTTCAACCGACTGGGACAGATGGCACATGTCTTTCTAACACCTGAATCTGGATTCTGATAAGTTTTTGGTGGTAAAGGCTCGGGCATATCGGCGGGTCCAATAACTCGCTCGATACTTAGCCGCAATTCTCGTGGGATCCTATCATTGTAGACGCGTAATTTCATTTCCGGGAGGACTAATTCACGTGCCAGCAGGAGTAAAAATCGGCCACGACTGATGTCGCCCTTGTTTGTACACTTGTTGTACAATACATAAGTATTAACACCGCTCATATCTATCAAATTGTAAAACAAAGTCATAGGCCAACGTCGAGTTCTTCGAGAGCACGAGTAATTCGAGCATTTCTTGTCCACCTCATCCACCCCTCCTTTTGTCTTGTTAAAGTCAATTATCATAATAGGCTTATTAGTTGCAGAATCAGTCTCTTTGATATGGTGCATAGACGACACCAGTAAAACAGCTTTCTTAGGCTTAGGCACGTAAGACAGAATAGTATTGTCTTTGGTAAATCCGTATAACGAAGAACCAACCACTCTATCTTTATGAGGTTTAAATTCTGGTGGGATCTCCCTCTTGTTTTTCTTCATAGTGCCCAAGTAAGTAAATCCACGATCTTTCAGTGCTTGCAGTAGTTCCATCGAGCTAAACCAAATATCTGCTGTTATATTTCGGTTACAGCCCTCGATCCCTTTACAAAGATGAAGAACAGATTGTGTGGGAATTGAAAAGCGTTTCTCTGCATCACTTAGGCCATTGCCATCAGATCCTGTGCCATAATATACGTAAGCATTGTATATATAAAAACTTTGGGCGTCAACCAGCAGGAGAACTTTTAATCCATATTTATTTGGCTTGTTGGGCATATATATTCTAAATTTGCAGCGCCCTCTAAAAGCTACAAGCATTTCATCTATACAAATGTAAGGACCCAAAGTGTAATTTTTCTGGCAATTACCGATGAACTCATGAAATAACTCTGAAATAGCGGCAAGTTTGTCGTCTTTTAATCGTTCAAATCTTGTTTGAGTATCATCGAAACGCAAACAGTTTAACAAGACCAGAAATCTGTTTTTGGACATAACGCAGCGAAAAATATCCCGTCCTGTGCCATCTGTTGCAAAAATAAAGTCTGAATTTTCGTGATTTGATTGGAATACTGATGTATAAAACAATAGCCCAATTAAAGCCTTTATTTCTGTCTCATTAGTTGAGCCTAGTTCAGATCTGCTACTGTCTTTATACTTAGCCCTATAGCTATCTAGTTTCTTGTTTGTGTAAGTAACTATCATTTCAATCATGCAATCACTAAACATCAGTTTCCATAATTCCGTGAAAGATTCGAATTCAATCGGACTTACTTGAGATGGTGCATTGACAATATTGTGCGCGCGTACTCGACTTGTTCGGGATGGTTCCGCCGATGCCCATTTGTACCTATTCTTCCCGTAAAAGTAGCGCGGCAGCTCTCCTGTTGATTCTTCATTTCGCTCCTGGTCTGTTCTAAGATCTTCACTACCCTGGTCATTTCGCGTCTCTACTTCGCTATACTGCTCCTCACCGATCTTTTCAATTCTAGTCTCTGCTGCGCCATGTTGTTCCTCTCTGATCATTGTCTCCTCTTCGATCTGTTCTGTAATGTCCTGGCTTCCATGAGCTCGTACTTCTCTTTCTTGTTCTTCATTGTCGTGATTATGGTTGATTTCTCCGTGGTAAACTTCCTCAACATGGGGATACGCGACCTCAACATCATCCTCATCGGATTGTTCGGATTCCGTGTTGTGATCGCTCTCTAAAATAAAATCAGGATCGCCTACATCGTCGTCAAAATCACTACAGTTGTCGTCACTCTCGTTTATGAGATTTTCACATATCTCTTTATCTTCTAAACGCCTATTCTGTTTTCGCAGTTTAGGAGGCTTCTTGGGAACTGAACCGTCATCATTTGCAGGTTTTTTCCGCTCACTAGACGTGATGTTTCTCCTTTTAGGCATTCTGCAATTAAAAGTATAATTTTAAATCCGATGTTACGTCAATCAGACACTATAAGCTACCACACATGAATACCGAGGTGACGACCAAGAGACGTACGAAATTTAGTACATAAACACCGTACTTACGTCTGTGAGACGTCGATAGCTTCAATACGGAAACGTGTGCATTCACCGCGGGCGCAGCGTCGACTGATGGCTTGCGACGCGGAGGGAGGAAGGTAGCGGGAAGGGCGACGCTAAAGGTGGCGTGTTTTTAGAAATATTTCAAAATTAAAAGTTATGACGTCTGTGAGACGTATAGGTCGGTAGTTAAAGGTTAATGAAATGCATAGAAATCGTCCAAACAAATCGCGTTGCATGCGCAATTCAACAATTTTTCCTGCCACTGACATTTTCCTCTTTTGCATGCTGTCTGTAAAATTTAGTACTTTATTTTTTTTATTGGTTTTCGACTGCACATTCTGCAATAAAATTTTCTAGCTGTTGATTTCCCATTATTTCGACATTTAGTAAAAATTTCTCGATATTTTCTGAGACCGTTTGGCCTGTCGAAATATTAAAAAATAATTTGGATCTAAATCAGCAGCAAAAGGATTAATATTTTGTTTAATGTTGTCGATAAAATTACGAAGCTGTTGAGTGTTTTTACTTATTCCGCTT